TTTGGAAACAATAGAAGAACAAAAGATAACAGAAAGATCAGGTTATGCGGTCTTAAAGCGTGTTGCATGACTTAAATCAGTTGGAGCATTTCTCCTAGCTTTCCCGCATTAAAACGTTGGAATGAAAAGTCTGAAGCTTAGCTTTTAAAATCTTGATAGCCAAAATAAAAGGGGTGCCCCAAAAGGCAAGCATTTGGGAATTCAAAATCGATATTTTTGTCTCCAGCGAAATCTGGCGGATGAACAGTAATTTGCATATACCAGTGAGCGTAAGTGAAGCGAAATAGAAGTTTTTTTCCTTTTGAAAGCGTAAATTCGCATGAAAGAGCTCAGCTTGCACAAAATAATGTAAAATGAAACGAATCAAATCGAAAAGTGTAAAAAAAAGTCAGGATATTTCAATTCGATGGAAAGCAAGTGATTGGGTAGGTGATTTGCATACTGATAAAAATAACTTCTAGCGCAGTTCAAAACCGTTCGGCTTCCTGAATTGTTTTCCTGGAATTCTTTACATTCTGCTGGCCTAAATCGTTAAAATATGTTATGAAGTCAAAATAAAGAATCAATTTGAGCGTTTGTATTTCCTTATAAAACAGAGAGTTGAGCGAAAGCTTCGATCTATAGATTTTCTTAAGTTAAATTACCTTTGTATCATGGAAACAATACCCTAACACTTGAGTCTTGTATCAAAGGACGCGACAAGCGTCGGCTCCCTTTGTGAGCGCGCAAATAGTGATGGGACCCGCGATTTTGCGGGCGACACGGATCTACAGGCGCCGTTCCGTAATGGAGGTAAGACGTCGTCTTCCTGTATCATTCTTTTTCCTGTTTACTTGAAACGTATAATTTATGCAAACATTTCCTTTTAAATTTGTTTGTCATAAATAAACTTCGATTTTTGAGCCAAAATTTTCTTGTTAGAAAACGCTGAGCGGCTTCTTCTACGCGAATACACGGGAGTTGTAAACAATCCATCGAGCACAAAACTCAGCTATAGTAAATTGAAAAATGCAGTATTGAATCCTTCCAAGTCTTTTCTTGCCTTAAAAAAAAGGCAGCCCTAGGATTTTGTCGACTTTTAAAAGATCGTTCTCTAAAAAATGGGAAAAACACCGAGCTCACACATTATCCACACGCTAGGAGGTGAATATTGTTGAATAGTCCGAGATAGCGAACCAATCAGATTGCTTAAATCACCAAGATCACTGAGTGTGTATATACTAATGGCATTTATGCCGATGACTCGACCCTTTATGCATCTGCACCTACCTTAGCTGAAGTCGCGGAGAAAATTAGACCTGACATTGACGCAGTATCGATGTGGGCAAAGGAAAATAAATCAAAATGCATCCAGCAAAGACAAAGTACAGTATAATCTCGACAAGGCAAAAAATTGCAAATTCAGCAAAACAATCTCTTGACCTCTCAGTTGACGGCATGCAACTCACTAAGGTTGAGTCAGAACGTGTCTTAGGAGTATATATTGATAGTCATCTCCTTTAGAACGAACATATTGACACACTGCGCCGAAAACTACTTCAAAGAATTGCAATTTTAGCAAGAGCTCGGAAATATATACCAACCAAATATCGATTGCTTCTCTACAATGCAAGTATCAAACCGCTCTTTACTTATTGCTGTACTGTTTGGAGCAACTGTAGCCAAACCAACTTAGATGAACTGTTTAAAGTCCAAAAACGCTGCGCTCGATTAATTTTGGATAGTCCTCGAGATGCACGATCGTACGGTAATTTTCAAAAGCTTAAGTGGCTACCGGTTGATCAGCTATTCAAGCTCAATAAACTCGGCATT